ACCACATTGTACCAATTTAAATGAAATTTATTTTCATACTGTAACCATTGTATTTTATAAGCTAGAGTGTCTAAATCAAATTTGCTAACATTGTTCTCATTCTCCCTTTCCTTTCGTATTTATACTGAATTTAATCGATGTGATGAAAAATCTATTTATATTTTTAGGTTAAGTTCAAGATTATATCTTTAGTATCATTTAGTAATTTTTCCTGTGTTTTTAAGGAAAGATTTTATGCCTGGTAAAAATATATGATGTGGTGGCCTGCCGAAAATTAGTTTAGGTTGAGTTTAAGGAGCTGACCAGGATTTCTTTAGTGATGGAGAGTGAAGAAAAATCCCTACTCACCAAGCAGATGAGAGAACTATGAGTTATGGAAGACTACCTTGTCTGGTATTGAATGGGGACCAGAGCCCCTCTGGTCAAGTCTCAGACTACAGATGGTGTGAGATCATTAATAACTTCTGTCATATTAGGATTACATTAATTAGGATTCCCAGAGCCTGATTGTTTAGGAAGGTCAGTCAAAGTATGTGGTTGAGTAGTACCATAAAGAAAAATAAAAAGAATTTTGAAGAAAATTAATGAATACATTAATTACATAATACATAAATACATTATTTGTTTAGAACTGATAGATCAATCATCTAGAAAAAGAAGTAAAATAGAAACTAAAAAAATAACACTGTAAATATAAACATTAGTTTGTACATGCATTTAAAAACATAAACTAGAATTCCATGTATCTTACTGCCTATATTTAATGCTTTCATTTTCGTTTTTAATTGCTACATTATTAAATGTTAATGCAATTGACTCTATACCAATAAAACGTAATATCTGGCTATAATGTGTTTTGTTTCCGCAATAAAATAGTACTTACTGTATGCAGGAGTATGCAAGAGCATGTTCATCTTTCACTGAGTGTAAATCCTCCATGTTCTATTTTCATTCATACGGAGTTTAAATACATTTAAATCCACCGAGCATTTATACTTCAAAGAGGTACAGTATAAAAATAACCTTCGGCATGTATGTTGAATGGATTTAAATATTTGGGGAAACTTCTATTATTATGAAACCTTCTCAAATAGACATAACAAAGACAGCAAGTGACAGAAATAATGGGAATTACCATTATTACCAGTGTGTGGCGCAATTGAGCTTTTGTTTGTCAAACTATTTTGTGTTTAACTATCTCTTTTGCAGTTTTACTTCTCCTTGTAGTGAAAATGTAGGAGTAAATGGGGTTTATTTTATTTTGTACAGGTTTGTACAGGTCTATAGCTCAGTTTGTTGCTCAGCAAATTAATGTCCCCAGAATGGTGAATACTCAAGTCCTAATCAGATATTTTAATCCAGCACTGGTTTGTAATCAGAGTGTATTTTAAACTACTACATAATCCCCTTTCTTTGCCACTTTGATTGATCATTTTGGTTCATATGAGTTATTAGCCAGCGCAGAAACTGCATCACATCTGGATACACATCTGGAATAAGTTAAGCAATTGTTTAGGAAATAATATTTTCAACTTCTACTGTACTTTTAACTAGTACTAAACTAGTAACTGGAGTGTTTTCAAATGTACAACTGGTCTTTTGAGTCTGTAGCACCAGTCCAGTCTTGCACTTCTCATTATATGAGATGTTTGGCAACTAGACCAGAGCCAATGTACAGTATTTTGTCAATTTTCACTCTCTCAAGCAAGCACATCATTTGTTCCCACCTTTTAATATTGTTTAATATTTTCAAAGCAAGTTCCCCTACTCTAACATTTTGGCATTGATCTCTCCTGCCACCTGGTCCTCTTTATCTGTCACGCCTTTTGCAGCCAGAGGGCGCTCCTACTCTGTCCCTAGTTTCCTGTGCTTTGCTGTCCTTCCAGTGTCTCTCTCTATGGGGCTATATATTTCTGGGTCAATTATTCCCCTTCGCTCAGCATTGACGTTTGGATGTCCTGAGACCCGCCTAGCACCAGGCCACCGCTCTGTCCATGGCCTGAGGGCACAGGTTTCTATACGGCATTTCCAGAACTCTTGCACTTCTGAGCCCGGACTAACTCCCTGTTCCGCCGCTTCGCATAGGGTCTTTTTCCGCTCTCCTGCCATTCTGACATCTGTGACATTATCACTGATGAACGTAACACCTTCCTTTCTCCCCTCTCCCCTCTCTCTCTACTGCAGTGTTCTTGCATAGTGACTTCAACATTCACCATTCTGGCTCAGCCAATAAGCTGTGCTATTTCTTCTGCTCGTCTCTTTTCCCCAACTCATACATCAGGTAGTCAACTGAACCCGATCTTTTTTCAACCTCCTCTCCCACCCACTCTGTCATCCCTTATGACTAGACTATAACACTATTTCATTTCCTTCCTTCTCACATTCCCCTTCATTGCTTATTCAGTGGCTTGCACTGTCACATTCTGTAGTAACTTTAGTTGTCAGTCTACCCTTAACTTTGCTTTTCCCACACTCTCCTATCTTACTCCTGCTGACTAATTCTCTAAGCATTATGTACTTTAAACGGCTACCTTCACCTTCTTCTATGTTCTTAAGTCATCTTCTGATTTCCTCTGCCCACTCACCTCTTACTATGCATTCCCCACCTTTTCCTATCCCTCTGGTACTCTACTTGGTACAAAGCAACACTCAGCTGAAAAAAAAACGTTAAAAAAAAACCGTAATTGCTCTCTGCTTTGGATTTTTGTTGCTCCATGCTCTCACACTACACTTTAGCACCTGTCATTTCTTATCTTTTCTTTTCATATGATAATCCATTACTACTGTCCCTCTGTTGGCCCATTCAAAACCCTTCGCCCACTCCTGTATCGTCAGAACAAGAACAAGAACGAGAACGAGAATGAGAACAAGCCAGCAGCCATATCACTCTGCAACTCACAACTGGCACCCAACTGAGGCTAAGCAGGTGTGATCCTGGACAGTACCTGGATGTGAGACCTCCTGGGAAAAACTAAGGTTGCTTCTGGAAGAGGTGTTAGTGAGGCCAGCAGGGGGCACCCACCCTGCGGTTCATGTGGGTCCTAATGCCCCAGTATAGTGACGGGGACACTATACTGTAAACAGGCGCCATCCTTTGGATGAGATGTAAAACCTAGGTCCTGACTC